AGGTCCTGCTTTGGTGGCCTCTGCCTCCATGGAGACCACGGGGCTGCTGAGCGCCCCCAGGCCTGGGCCTGGAGACGAGCCCAGGGAGTACAGGGGCCTGGAGGAGACCTGCGACAGACTCTGGCGGAGCGACTCGTTCATGGCTTCGCTCTCCAAGAGCTTTGTCCTGGGGATCGGAGGGGCTTTTGGTTACGGAGATCTGCTGCCCTGGGCAGATGTCCAAACACCCCAGGGGAAAAGACACCCCCTTCCCCCAACCTCTACGGAGGGGTGACCGGGAGAGTGTGTGTCTGGAACCTGAACTGCCCTTGCTCAGCTCGGACAAAGGGGCTCAGGGCTCTGCTCCCGGGGAGGGGTGCTGCAGAAGGACATCGCAGGGAAGGAAAGCTGGCATGGCCACCACTAACCATCTGCATGCCTCTTGTGAGAGCAAAGAGTCACAGCAGATGCCACTTCATGGATTTAGTGCCTTCACTTAGATGGCAATGCAGCCCAGGCCACGTCACAAAGGCCCCAGGGCTTCCCACTAGGTGTGAACGCTAACGGGAGAGAAGCAACCCTATGGCCGACAGCCAGTTCTCAACAGCCACGGTGATACGCTGACATGGCAGCCTAAGGGTTAATCTTCAGCAGCGGCTGCGCTAGACACGGTGGGGCACCTCTGTTTTCTAGCATTATGGACGGGGTCTGGATCCTCAGCGGGAGGGGCGTAAATCGGCATTGCTCCAGGGACCCCAGTGGGACAACGCTGATTTTACACCAGCTGAGAATTTGGCCCAGAACGAGCGAGGGGATTCCTGTCTCCAGGGTTGTCAATTTCTCCAGCACGAAATCCACATTTAGGAGCAGCACTAGCTATCAGACTGCATTTCAATGTACCCCTGGGAGGCATTTAAGTCTGGATCAGCCAAGGCTCCAGAGAAAGCTTGGGAGCACAAGGGCCGGACAGGACGCCCTACAGGATGGAGACATTTCCATCTCGAATGTGGGGCTTTTATTTATATTTCAGCAGCACCGAGAGAGACGGGATCAAGGCCCTGTTGTGCCAGGTGCTGCACACACCCGTGAGACGGGCGCTGCCCCAAAGCACCGACAATCTAAATGGTCGCATCAGACCAAAGGCAAGAGAGGGGGAAGTGACTTGCCCGAGGTCATTGGCAGAGCTGCGATGCCAGCCTACTATTTGAACCCAGTGCCCGCGGCACCAGTCACCCAGCCGGGAGCGGCAGAGCCAGAGAGGGAATCTGGGCCTCCAGAGCCCCAGGTCAGCAGCCCCCCCGCTAGCCCGCACTGCCTCTTTGCAGGTCCTCTCAAGCTGCACACGATACGCGGCCCCCCCAGATGGGCGGAAGGAGAGAACGTGACCCACGCCCACCTGAGCTCCTTGATCTCCCGGATGTAGTTCTGGATCAGGGCGCCGATGGCCTCGTTGCCGTCACCTGGAGGGACAGAATTAGGATCACAGACAAGATCAGAAACACCTAGCAGCTGGGCTGCCACTCAGCTGCCCTTGGACCTGAGCTCTGGGGTGGCTGTAATTTTCGTGGGACCGATCCTCATGCCCCACCTCGCATACATGTTCTCCGGAGGTGCCCATCCTCACCTGCCTTGGCCAGTATCAAATTGGCCTCCTGGCTCATCAGGTGGGTGACCCGGCTGTTGATGGCATCAATGGCCTCCTGCATGTTTTGCTAGCTGCTTGCTCACAGCTTGAAACCTTCTCTTAACAGAGACACTTGTTAAAAAAACTTAACACCTCTGCCTTCAGGCAAAGAGAAAGAAGATCTGCATCTACCTTTGCAGCTAAAAAGGAGAAAAAAAATCTTACTGGCTTTTGGTTTAAAATGATCCCACCGCTCTGCCACCATGTCAAGGTTCCTTCCCCACTCTGAACTCTAGGGTACAGATGTGGGGACCTGCATGAGAACCTCTAAGCTTAACTATCAGCTTAGATCTGGTTTTGCTGCCACCACCCAAATTATTTGAGTCATTTGAGAAACTGTCTACCTCCCCTCCCCCAGAATATTTCCCTCCCAAGTACTATAACCCTTTCCTGGGTAGCCTTGAGAGACTTTTTCACCAATTTCCTGGTGAACACTGTTCCAAACCCTTGGGTCTTAAAACAAGGAGAAATTAACCATTCCCCCTCCTTTCCCCCACCAATTCCTGGTGAGTCCAGATCCAACCCCTTGGATCTTAAAACAAGGAAAAATCAATCAGGTTCTTAAAAAGAAGGCTTTTAATTAAAGAAAGAAAGAGGTAAAAAATCATCTCTGTAAAATCAGGATGGAAAATAACTTTACAGGGTAATCAGATTCAAAGAGCCCAGAGGAACCCCCTCTAGCCTTAGGTTCAAAGTTACAGCAAACAGAGGTAAACCCTCTAGCAAAAGGAACATTTACAATTTGAGAAAACAAAGATAAACTAACACGCCTTGCCTGGCTGTTACTTACAAGTTTGAAATATGAGAGACTTGTTCAGAAAGATTTGGAGAGCATGGATTCATGTCTGGTCCCTCTTAGTCCCAAGAGCGAACAACCCCCAAAACAAAGAGCACAAATGCCTTCCCTCCTCAAGACTTGAAAGTATCTTGTCCCCTTATTGGTCCTTTGGGTCAGGTGTCAGCCAGGTTACCTGAGCTTCTTAAACCTTTACAGGTAAAAGGATTTTGGTGTCTCTGGCCAGGAGGGATTTTATAGTATTGTATGCAGGAGGGTTGTTACCCTTCCCTTTATAGTTGTGACACAGGCCAGTAAGCCTAACTTCATTACCACACAAATTGGTTGAAACTATAGTAAAGAACAGAATTGTCAGACACACAGATAAACACAATATATTGGGGAAGAGTCAACGTAGCTTTTGTTAAGGGAAATCATGCCTCAGCAATCTATTAGAATTCTTTGAAGTAGTCAACAGGCAGGTGGATAAGGATGATCTAGTTGTTATAGTGTACTTGAACTTTTAGAAAGCCTTTGACAAGATCCCACACCAAAGGCTCGAAAGCAAAGTAAGCAATCATGGGATAAGAGGGATGGTCCTCTCCTAGATCAGAACTGGTTAAAAGATAAAAAAACAATTAAATTTAGGAATAAATGGTTACTTTTCACAATGGAGAGAGGTAAATAGCAGAGTCCCCCAACGATCTGTACTGTTCAACAGATTCATAAATGATCTGAAAAAAGGGGTAGGTGGCAAGTGAGGTGGCAAAATTTGCAGATGATAGAAAAATTCTCAAGATAATTAAGTCCAAAGCTGACTCTGAAGAGTTACAAAGAGACCTCACAAAACTGGGTAACTGGGCAACAAAATGGCAGATGAAATTCAATGTTGATAAGTGCAAAGCAATGCACATTGGAAAACAATCCCAACTATACATACAAAATAATGGGGTCTAGATTAGCTGTTGCCACCCAAGAAAGAGATCTTGGAGTCATTGTGGATAGTTGTTTGAAAACATCCACTCAATGTGCAGTGGCAGTCAAAAAAAAAGATAATGTTGGGAATCATTAGGAAAGACAGAAAATAATATATTGCCTCTATATAAATCCATGGTACACCCACATCTCTAAAACTGCGTGCAGATGTGGTCACCCCATCTCAAAAAAGAATATCGGAATTGGGAAAGGTTCAGAAAGGGGCAAGAAAAATTATTAGAGGTATGGAACAGCTTCCATATGAGGAGAGATTAATAAGACTGGAACTTTTCAGTTTGGAAAAGAGACGACTGGCGGGGGAGGGGGAGAATATGATATAGGTCTATGAATCATGACTGGTGTGGAGAAAGTAAATTTATTAAGTGTTATTTACTGCTCATAACACAAGAACTAGGGGTCAAAGGAAATTAATAGGCAGCAGGTTTAAAATAAAGAAAAGGAAGGATTTCTTCATACAACACACAGTGAACCTCTGGAACTGTTTGCCTAAGGATGTTGTGAAGGCCAAGACTATAACAGGGTTAAAAAAACAACTAGATACATTTATGGAGAATAGGTACATCAATAACTATTAGCCAGGATAGGCAGGGATGGTTTCCCTACCCTTTGTTTGCCAGAAGCTGGGAATGGGCCACAGAGGATGGATCACTTGATTCCCTGTTCTGTTCATTCCCTCTGAAGTACCTGGCATTGGCCACTATTGGAAGACAGAATACTGGGCTAGATGGACCATTGGTCTGATCCACTATGGCCGTTCTTACTGGTAAAGTTTCAAACTTTTTTTCCAAAATTGCTCCCGTGCTCCATTTTTCTCAATAGGACTGAAACCACAAGTTGCCCTCAGTTAAGATGGCCAGGACTGCTCCACAGCCTTTGCAGATGGCCATGAGGTTGTCCCTAGTAAAATGGCCTCTGCCTCCCTTTCATTCCAAGGGGACAGAAGCCAGCCTACTCTCAAGAAAGATGGCTGCTTCCCTTTTGTGCTAAAAATCTCCATTAATATCTGGTTAGTTTCATTCTCTTTTAAAATTATCATGGCTTTACAACAACAGGATACAATATAAAATGGTATATTATCAGGCAAGGACAGAAGAATCCCATGCATGGCTACAGGCTGGGGACTGACTGGCTAAGCAGAAAAGGACCTGGGGATTACAGTGGACAAGAAGCTAGATATGACTCAACAGTGTGCCCTTATTCCAAGAAGGCTAGCAGCATACCTGGCTGCATTAGCAGAAGCATTGCCAGCAGATCGAGAGAAGTGATTATTCCCCTCTATTCAGCACTGGTCAGACCACATGGGGAGTATTGCGTCCAGTTCTGGGCCCCCCACTACAGAAAGGATGTGGACAAATTGGAAAGAGTCCAGCAGAGGGCAATGAAAATGATTAGGGGGCTGGGGCACTTGACTTATGAGGAGAGGCGAAGGTAACTGGGCTTATTTAGTCTGAAGAAGTGAAGAGTGAGGGGGGATTTGATATCAACCTTCAACTACCTGAAGGGGGGTTCCAAAGAGGATAGAGCTAGGCTGTTCTCAGTGGTGGCAGATGACAGAACAAGGAGCAATGGTCTCAAGTTGCATTGTGGGAGGTCTAGGTTGGATATTAGGAAACACTATTTCACTAGAAGGGTGGTAAAGTAATGGGATGGGTTACCCAGGGAAGTGGTGGAATCTCCATCCTTAGAGGTTTTTAAGGCCCAGCTTGACAAAGCTGGGATGATTTAGTTGGTGTTGGTCCTGCTTTGAGCAGGGGGTTGGACTAGATGACCTCCTGAGGTCTCTTCTAACCATAATCTGTGATTCTATGTCAGCTGTTGGTTTTCCACTGGGTGGAATAAATTAGTGTATATATAGAGAAACATTCTATTAAAAAGAAGTTGAGGTGGAGAGGGCAGAATTGTGGCTGACTGGATGGTGTACTTGAACTGTGCTTTTCCTATTTTTATTTTATCATTGTATTCTTTATTCATATAGCGGTAACAGCTACAAGTCCCACCATGGGCCAGAGCCCCAATTTCAAAGGTGCTGTACAGACACAGAACAAAAAGACAGCCACTGCTCCAAAGAGCTTACAATCTAAGTAAAATGTGGTTAATGTTTGAGTCTTTTAAATGTTCACCATCACAGAATGATTCCCAGGGTATCCATTATTTATTAATTAGAAATTTAGTGTCTGAATAATCTTACCAATATGAACATTTAAAATAGAACCATTGCAGTCACTGAAAGAGGTTTGTCAGTATTCTGCATTCATGAAAAAACAAGAGGAATGTTCACTGATGAACTGAAAGCAAGACATAAATATTTTTTTAAAATCTCTCATGAATATTATCATTTTCCTCCTGGTTTGTATAACACAATTCTGCATGTCACCCTATTGATTTCCCATCTGACATCACTTTTCTGCTCCATAATTTTCTCATGGCACTTTTCACCTCCTCATTTCTTAGTGTGTAGATCAGCGGATTCAGCATGGGGGTGATAACGGTGTAGAACACAGCAACCATCTTGTCCTCTGATAAGTGGCTAGAAGGTCGGATGTAGGTGAACGTGCAAGGCCCAAAAAATAAAATCACTACAGCAATATGGGAGCCACAGGTGGAGAGAGCTTTACGACGCCCTTCAGAAGAATGTGTCCTTAAGGAGATTAAAATCACAATGTAGGATATAACCAAGAGAAGGAAACAACCCAAAGCAATCATCCCACTATTAGCAACAACTATGATGCCGACAACATAGGTGTCGGCACAAGCCAGTTGTAGCAAAGGGTGAACATCACAGAAATAATGGTCAATCTCATTGGGCCCACAGAAGGGTAACTGGGTGGTTATAAGAGTCTGTACCATGGAATGCACAAAGCCCCCTACCCATGAGGCCACCACCATCTGGCCACATACACGCCTGGTCATGATGGTTGTGTAGTGGAGGGGTTTGCAGATTGCAATGTAGCGATCGTAGGCCATCACTGTGAGGATGAAGATCTCAGTGCAACCAAAGAAATGGACTCCGAACAGCTGTGCTATGCAGCCAATGAAGGAGATTATTTTTTTCTCAGTGAGGAAGTCTGCAATCACTTTAGGGGCTGTGACAGAAGAGTAGCAGATGTCTACAAAGGATAGGTAACTCAGGAAGAAATACATGGGTGAGTTCAGATGCTGACTGCTAACTATAGTGAGAACAATGAGGAGGTTTCCAATGGTAGGGTTACCATATTTCAGCAAGCAAAAAAGAGGACGGGAGGAGCCCCGCCCCTGCCCCTCCCACTTCCCGCCCCCCCACGAACCCCCAACCCTCCCCCGTTCCTTGTCCCCTGACTGCCCCCTCCTGGGACCCCTGCCCCTAACTGCCCCCCAGGACTCCACTCCCTATCTAAGCCTCCCT